TAGTTCTGAAACAAATTTATGCATGTTTGTATCTTCTATATGTATGTTCAATAATTTGAATAAAATTTGTATNTTCTATATGTATGTTTAATAATTTAAACTTCAATAAAATTAAAAATATTTTAAATTTTTTTTTTTTATGATACTCTATGAAATCTCATGGATAAACACCTTTTTTTTAAATTTTAAGAAAGTCTCATTTCAACACTTTACATTATATATATTAATATAATTAGGCAAATGAGACTTAGGGAGTCTCATGGATAATTATGCCCTTACATTCAGAATTGTATAACCAAGTAAACAAATGCATACGCGTATGTTACGAATATAAAACATAAATTAATTGATAGAGTTTTTTGTATTTGATTTTTTTTTATAACAAAAAAACAAATTGTGTGTAATGGGTCTCGAACACGAGATGTTTTTTTGTAGAGTTGCATACATGCATTCGTGTACTTCAAAGTATATATGTGCTCGCGTCATGTGACACATGCATGAATCATGTGGTAGTTTATTTCAACACATTGATTATAAAATCGGTTATCATTGATTCATGATTCATCATAACTCAGAAGGTTTAAGGATTACATGTCTTTTAATGAATCATCTCGGTAATGTGAAAAGTTAAGAAAACATAAGTCAATTAGAAATTTAAAATTACATGAAAGGTGCTTTTTGTCGGCAAAACGCAAAAGATGCTTTGAAGAGAAAATGTAAACTTTAATCCTAATCAAAGTTTATATTTTAATTAGTGATGTCAATCTCATGAGGGAAAACTTTTCCTCCCCAAATTTTTGTTTGATTGATACCCATTTTTATTCAAATAATTATTTGTTTGAAACAATCTAATTTATTTCAATAGATACAAGTACAACTATGAGTTGGATATGAGATGGAATATCTCAATTACCTGTTTGAATACTTTTTAAAAAAACTAACAAAAATTATCCACCCGAAATTACATATATATAAAATTAATGTAAATTTGGATAATGAATCTAGCTAATCAAACTTCTCGTTTCCAAATCTTCTATTTTTTGTACTATTTCAGATAATCATTTTTATTACTACATAAAATCATTAATTCTTAATCTTTATCTATTTTCAGTTCTGATATCCGAAATCAACATTCTTAAAAAGAGTGAAATAAACCGATAAATTTTTGTGTATTTCAATTTTGGATCCATATGTATTGGCCGGTTGGGCACAGTCGTGAAAACACGTCTTAGCAGCAGAATCGAATTGCTTCGCTGTTTATTGATTTGGTACGGTTTATTTCAGTCCGGTTTGTTCCGGTTTAGGTAGTTTTTTTTCTCTATTGGCAAAAGAGCGAGTTC